GGGGAAAAAAACAAACAGCTGTTATTATGTTGTTTGTGATGTTATGTGTTGTTTATATATTGTTTATATGTTGTTATTTGCAGTGTGTATGATGTTATTAAGGTAATTAGGTTGTTGAAGTGTAAACTACCATAATTGTGTCTGTAACCACGAATACATATAAACTACACTGTATATATAACACTAATTACTATACTCCTCTCTCTCTCTCTCTCTCTCTCTCTCTCTCTCTCTCTCTCTCTCTCTCTCTCTCTCTGACTTATAACAGTTTACATCATTTAATCAAAATATTTATAATAGTAGAACAGCTCTTGTGAATAAAATTACTTAAAACACTTTTTACAATAGAAACAAGACTGGTGTAAAGAAATATACTGAAAACAGGTATTACCAACATTTACAGCAGATGTGGGCTCTATGACACACCTAACACGTCAAGTATACATGCTAGAAGGTGTGGCCTCTGAGATACACACACCTGTCACATCAAGTATACATGCTAGCAGGTTTGGCCTATGAAACACATCAAGTATACATGCTAGCAGGTTTGGCCTCTGAGACACGCACCTGACAGCACACCTTACACAATGTGATAATGTCAAATTTTATCCCAGAAACTTTTGAGAATAATAAACTTGTGGAGTTATCACATCGAAGCATTAATGTTGAAGTGTTAAGAGAGAGAGAGAGAGAGAGAGAGAGAGAGAGAGAGAGAGAGAGAGAGAGAGAGAGAGAGAGATACCACAGTCAGCCAGCCGCCTTGACGGATCCCTGTTAGCAAGACGGAGAGGATACGTATGAAAATGTAACGCAATATGTTTCTCAGCCCCTTGATCTTGTCCCCTCACCACACACCTCTGAGTATTAAGACCATAAGCTAGTTTAACTCAATGATAAGCAAGTTTAACTCTAAAGGACCTTTACTTTAGAAGATAATAAGTTTTACTCTAAGATAATAATGAAGTTTTAATAAAAAAAATTATTTTTATTTTTTCGTCCTTTTTGTGCGTTTGTGTTTTATTTTAGTGTATTTTTCTTGTGTGTTATTAGGGGATTTTTTGTTGCGATTTGAGGATTTTGTGGGGCTGTATTTGTGCGTTTTAATGCGTCTTTTGCGTTCTAATAAGATTTGTTTTTTATTTTGCGTTTATTTTTTGCACCTAATGATTTTTTTTCTTACATGCCTTTACGTTCTCGAGAGTTCTGCATTTTTCAGCGTTCAGTTTTCTTGCGTTTTTATGCATGTTTCGATTTTCTCTTACTCTTTAATACATTTTGACATTCATAAGATTTGTTTATTTTCTTTTTACTTTTTGGTGACAATTTGCGTTCTTAATCACGTTTTCTTCTGCATTTCGGGGCGTTTACTTTTCCGCTTTTTTTTTTTTTTTGCCGGAGCGAGACATCGGCACACGAGGGAGATGACGTGAGGTGAACAGAGGACAAGAGCCCTCCACCCCTCATCTTACCTCTTGTCACCTGCAGTTAATTACTGAGTGTGTGTGTGTGTGTGTGTGTGTCTGTCTGTCTGTCTGTCTCTAGCGCGCGATGCTCTAACCCAGCCTCTCTCTCTCTCATCAACACGCTCTTATCTATCTCATTTGTGTATTTCATTTGTCTCTTATTTCTCTTATTTGTCTCTCACTTCTCTTATTTGTCTATTATTTCTCTTATTTGTCTCTCACTTCTCTTATTTGTCTATTATTTCTCTTATTTGTCTCTTACTTCTCTGATTTGTGCCTGATATCTCTCTCGCTTTGTTTCTTCTTTAAAAAAAGTTACTAACATGAGCAACAATACGAAAAAATAATAACTACAACAACAACAAACGCAGCAACAACTATAACAACAACAAGAACAACAACAGCAACTACACCGATAACAAAAACCATAACAACAATTACAACAATAACAAAAACAATAACTACAACAAAACAATAATAACAACTACAACAAAACAATAATAACAATAACAACAACAAGGAAAAAACATCAATAACTATATCAACAAATGAAAGAATAACAACTACATTACCAACAAAAGAAATAACATAAACTACAAAACTAACAACAAAAACTACAGCAATAACAAAAACAAAAACTTCAACAATAACAAAAACAAATAACAACACCACACACACAACAATAACACCACAAGAGGCGTATACAACAATGGTATCTGAACAGTAAACATAGAAATGTCTCAACGCTCTTTTGTCGACCAGTTAGTGAATAAAATGTGTGGCTCCCGGAGACTGACAGAGCAAGGGAGAGGGGAGGAAGGAGGGAAGGAAACAAGGATAAAAGAGAGAGAGAGAGACGAGTGACAGACAGGAGAAACAAACAGACAGACAAAGATGAAACAAGAATAAAGGGAGATTAGTAAAAAAGAGAAGAAGAAGAATGGAAGAGACACTTGGGAAAGGAGTGACAAAGGGAGGGAGAGTGGGAGAAACATAGACAAATAGACAGACAGACAGAAAGGTAGAGATAAAAAGAAAAGAATAAGAAAAGACACAGCAAAGGAAGGAGAAGGGAGAGTGTGAAGAAAGACGAGAGAATAGAGAAAGAAAGAAAGATGGATGGATGGATGGACAAACAGAGACAGACAGACAGACAGAATATAAGACATATGTAAATAAATACCAAAAACAATAATGAAAGGAAAACAAACATGCAAAATCATTAAGTAAAACAAAATAAAACAAAATTAACTCAACCAAAAAGGACAAAAAGGAAAAAAGTACCTGTACATAAAAGTTCATGAACCAAAATAAACTTGTAAAATAAACTTTTAAATCAATTCATATAAATAATAAAATAAACTTGTAAATCAAACTTGTAAATCAACAATACCACCAAAATGTAAACAGCGGCAGTAACACAGGCGGTATCTCACTCGCCAAACTTAAACTGTAATGAGAAAAGTTATAAACTAACAATATTTACAGCAGTATAGAGGCCGATGGAGGAGCCGGTGGAGGAGGCGATGCTATGATGCTGTTCAAGTGATGCTGTTAAAGTATTGACCTGAAGGAGAGTGATTAGACTAGACTGCAGTGTGTGTGTGTGTTGCTCCTCCAAGCGTTACGATGTGGAGTAGCCGACTCTCAGGTGAGGGGGTCGATTTGAAATTTTTCAGGTTTGTCTTAAGATTTTCCTTAAACCTTTTCAGTTGCCCGCCGGCGTTACGTTTACTATTCGTTGGGCGACTATAAAGTAGCTACTTTGGCAGTCTACTGTCGTCCATGCGGGTAACATGGCCAGTCCAGCGTAGTTATTTATGGATAATGGTAGCTACGATGCTCCTATAGTTGGTGTCAGCAAGAATACAACTTAGTGACGTCACTCTCTCCACTATCCACAAATTCCATCCCAGAAATAAAAGAAAAAGAAATGAGTTTATTATTCTCTACCTTGATTGTTACTCCGCTGTAATGCTGACAAGATTGACCTTCTCAAAGTGCGATAATGAATGATGCAGTTGCTGTCATGTGCTGCCCTGGTTTGTGGTGCAGCAGGCAATACACGATAGAGTAGGCACGAGGCAGTAATACCCCCAGCGAGGGGTTCTTAAACAGTTTAGTGAGAAAAGGTCGGCCTCTCTCTCTCTCTCTCTCTCTCTCTCTCTCTCCCTATTTATCACCATGGAGACGCTAATATACCAATAAGAAAGTTGAGGAAGTTGGGTGTATGGCTCCAAAACACACAGGTAAATAAGGTAAGATAAAACAGGGAGGGAGAGAAAGAGGGAGTAAGGGGTACAAGGAAGGGAGGGAGGCAAAGGTAGAGAAGCATGGAAGGGACCGGAGGCAGGAGAGATGGAGGAAAGGAGGAAAGGAGAGCAGGAGGTGAGGGAGGGAGGGAGGGAAGCAAAGAAGGGAGGGATGGGGAGAGGGAGGGAAGGAAGCAAAACAGAGAGGAATGGAGAGAGGGAGGGAGGGAAGCAAAACAGGGAGGGATGGAGGGAGGAGGGAGGAAGATAAGCACAATCATTGACCTACACAACAAAATCACAACAACTCGAACACAGAAAAAAACAAAACTTTCTCAACCGCAATTAAAAAAAAAAAGATTAAATATTCCCTAACAGGCAACCGAGACAAAACATAATATAAACACTCTTTTTCAACATCATTACACAATATTTACAGCACCACCACGATATAAACAGTTCTTAATTTAACACATAACAACATTTGAGGTGTAAAATAAAAGAAATAAAAACATGTGAATTAATAAAGAGTTAGAGAGTACAACCTTTGAGAGATATTAATTAATGATGAGCAAGAGTAAAATCGAGTTGTTTTTGCTGTCGTGTTCTGGTACCAGGTTGCTCTTGAAATATTCCTCGGATAGAAAGTATTATGTGTTTGTCTTTTCTTCGGATGTTATTTTTTTTTTCCTTTCTGTTTTCTTTTTTTTTTGTCTTGTCTCTCTCACTCATTTTTCTCTATCTCTATCTACCTGCCTCTCTCTCTCTCTCTCTCTCTCTCTCTCTCTCTCTGAGTATAGTGGCAGCACATTAATATACAGAGAAGATAATGGTCCAAACTTGATCTTAACCTAATCTGACCTGACCTGACCTAACCTAACCTAACCTAACCTAACCTAACCTAACCTAACCTAACCTAACCTAACTTAACCTAAACTATCCTCCTCCACGCTGGTCCAAATAAACCCACGTGATGGATGCCTTAAGATAGTCATTACCATTACCCACAAAAATAAAACATAGAAACTCGAAAAAACTTCAAACTTAGCCAAATTATCTGACAGGGTTCATGTATTTCGGAGTTCTGAGTTAAGGAATTCCATGCTGAAGAAGTTTTGTTATACAGTATTTGCGAAAAATAAAAAATAAATAAATAAATAAATATAGATAAAAAATAATAAAGTAAAAAAAAATTGAAAAATACAAAATTAATTCCAAAAAGATAATTTCTCAGGTAAATTTTTTTTTATCCTAATTAGTAAATCAAGTCATTTACCTGTGTAGGAAGACAGACAGACACTACTGTACTTATTGTTGATAACGTGGTCCTTTAGTACATCAACATCTGTCCTGCGCTACCCTCACCCATTGCTGAAAAAAAAAAAATAATAATAAATAAATAAATACAATAAGAGCATCAATATTGCATCCGAATATCTAACAACAACAAAATTCAAGTCTTATTATTTTTACGTACAGAGAATACAAGAATAAAATACAGATTCAAAATACTTTACGATAAAAAACAAAACACGCTTCAGTTCGGTCACGGATATATAAGCTACCACTATAGTTTTTCTTTATTCAGTGCGTATCTCGAGCTCAACCGTACAATGTTTTCGGGGTTTTCGATTTCCTTGGCGTCATTTAGAGTAAGACTAATGTATGCAAAGGATTAACTCGGCGCCATCAATGTTGCAGCCTTGACATATTGTGGCTAATAACGATGACGGGAGACTGCTATGAGAGAGAGAGAGAGACTGCACCGTATCGGACTATACTCTAAAACTGACCGGGTTTTTTCATGACCGTGCATGACAAGTTGTATGTAACACCACACACACTCTCTCTCTCTCTCTCTCTCTCTCTCTCTCTCTCTCTCTCTCTCTCTCTCTCTCGTGGAAAGAAGAGAAGCATTAGGAGATGTATGGTGAGAAAAAAACAGGAATTAGAAAAGTGATGAGGTTTTTGCCTCCCCAGGATAAGGTAAGCTCCCCCACCCATACAGTAAACTCCCCAACCCAAAAGTAGGGTAGGCTCCCCCTCCCCCACACCCGGATAGGCCCCCCCTTCCCCCCACTAAGATAGACTCCCCCACACTAGGGTTGGATGAGGAAACTTATTCCTTCTTAACCCCGTCTGGGCCTAATTTATTAGTCTTGTTACATAAGAAGGGAGAGAATCGATGAAAAATACCCAGTGTTCAGTAAGCTGGGGAGGGGTGAGGAGGAGGGAAGGTGAGGTGGGTAAGGTGAGGTGGGGAAAGAGTGAGGAAGGGGTCAGGAGGGGTTAAGGTGGTGTGGGTGAGGAGTCAGGAAGGAATGAGGGAGAGGTTAGGAAGAGGTGAGGAGGGGGCAGGAGAAGGATGGAAGGAGGTAGGGAGGGAGGGAGGGAGGAGGGAGGGAGGGAGGGAAGGAGGGGAAGGAGGGGAAGGAGACGGGGGGGAGGGGGAGGGAGGGGCGGCGGGAGGGAGGGAGAGAGGAGGACTTGAGATTATTAACCACGCAGCACACTCGACAAGGGGTGTACAAGGCCTCTGTCTGCCTGTCTGTTTGTTTGTTTGTTTTTTGTAATGTAAACAATAAACACAGAATCTTTTGACAATTTTTAAAGTCAAAATTCAAGTTCATATATACTTCGGTAGTTAAGCGTACATATACACATAACGTATTCACAAATCGTAAACACGCTCTTCTGCACGAGTATATAACCCACACCCCGTAGCGACACACACACACACACACACACACACACACACACACACACACACACACACACACACACACACACACACACACACACACACACACACACACACACACACACACACAATAACCCCACAGTAGGAGTTTCAACAGGCCCTTGATACAGGAGTAGTACCATCTAAGTGTTGGAACGAAGGCAAGAAACTATTGAAAAAGTGATGTAAGTTTCGGGCGAGAAGCTCAGGCACTTGATAAGTGTCTTAAGTATTGGAGAGGTCGGGGGGGGGGGGTCATGGAGGCCTACTTAAAAAATTGACAGAATCGATGTAAGTGATGAAGAAGCTGTGCACGGTTCCCCATAAGTGTTTTTAAGTATTGTGGAGGGCTACTTAAAACTCTCAAAAGTGATGTAAGTGCTGGGGATATTGTAGAGGTTTCCCATAAGCGCTATAAAGTGCTGGGGAAACCAAGGCACGTCTTTATAAGTGGTAAATGCAGTTAGGTAGAGTGATAGAAGTAACTGTAGAGAAGAACTGTACGGGAGTGACTGTTGATTGGCACCCTGTCTGACTGTCTTTCTCTCCTCTCGATCGAAGAATATAGAGTAATATTTACCTACTTCTCTCCTTGACAGACAGACAGACAGACAGACAGACAGACAGACAGACAGACAGATAGATAGATAGATAGATAGATAGATAGAAAATGAGTGAGTGTGTGTGTGTGTGTGTGAGTGTGTGTGTGTGTGTGTGTGTTTTAAGGTCTGTGAGACACACACACAAGGTCTTGCTGTATCGACAGGTAACACCCTCATCCTACACAACACAGGTAAGTCACTCAGCCTCGACTCTCAAGGGTTGTTACCCTAAGTTTTCCTCTTAACCCAAAATGTAAGGACGCATCTAACTGCCTCGCTTAAACTGTCACATGGAAGGTAGATTCTCAAAGGCTCTTACGTTAAATTTTCCACAACTAAATGGACACATGAGTGTGGTAGTGATGCTAACACTAAAATAAAAACATACATACATACATACATACATCCATACATACATCCATACATACATCCATACATACATACATACATACATACATACACACACCCTAAGACACAACCACTCCTACACCCAAACCCATCCTCCCCACACCCCCACACACCCTTCCTCACGATACACTCACCCTCCCCACACCCAGAGAGACACCCCACAACCTCCCTTCCCACACCCCATCACACCTAACCTCCCCAAACACTTTCCCACACATCCACCCTCCCCACACCCCTTTCCCTCCCCATACCCCCACACCCAAGCCCATCCTCCCCACACCCACACCTTCTCCACACACCCCCACAAAAACAGACAATAGCCAACGTTAATAATAACCTAACATCCACTATGATAATATCACCGTCACTGTATTTGACGCATCACGGGATTAAATACAGTCCCATTGATGTTTAATTAAAATGTGTGACAAAAGTTAGAAGCTCGCTTTACTCTTCTTGTATAAATGGATATTAAATAACAGTCAGTAGCGTCCACCTGTGCTTTAGTGACCTGTCAGACAATGGTGAACAGATGTTGGTAAAAAAAAATATATAATGGTAATGTTTGTTAATATGTTGTGATAGGAAAGATATGTTGTATTTAGGTCTTAACTTTAACACACGAATTTTGTTCATAGGTGAAGGTGGTTTTATATGAACACTGGAGGAAGAGTTGTGTATGTGGGGGGGTTTGGTAGGCAGACAGGCAGGCAGGCAGGCAGGCAGGCAGACAGACAGACAGACAGACAGACAGACAGACAGACAGACAGACAGACAGACAGACAGACAGGCACATACAGATAGATAGATAGATAGATAGACAAATAGATGCATAAATAGATAGACAATAATACTATGAACTCCTTTTAACACCAAGGCTTCATAACCTAATCACAACTACATAAATACAACAGTGTTTTCTCTCAACCGGAAAAAACAACAACTATGTTCAGCTTCTGTATATAAAATGTGACTTGTTTTCATCGATGTAATGACAAATAATAAACAAAAATAAACTCTGTGAATTTTGTTGTATATTCCACAATGTTATTAGTGTAATACCCCCATTGGTGTTGAGTTAATTATGAGTAAGTTTTTTAATGTTGTAGTCTCATCTCTCTCTCGTTTATTGTCTCTTAAATAATGGTTATGTAAGCGAAACTCTCGAGGTACCAGCGAGTGAATCTTCCTATTTATATAAAACAAAAAAATCGTGAACCATAGTAGTGATACAATGATTCGAGCCAATAATTTGACAGGGTAAAGACAATGATTCGAACCAGTGCTATTAATCTGTACCCTGAGTAAGCAAAGGCATTTTCGAATCTTGACTCGCATCATTGTTCTGAAGAGTTGAAACAGTGAATCACGTCTTCGGGGAGGTTCAAACTTGGCAAAAAACACTGATCAGAAACCACCACTAGGAATACAGTCTCGAATCCCTATCTCAAGAAAAACTAAGACAATGAATCATATCACTAGAAAACACAATGGGTGATTTGAAACAACCATAAGACACATTTGAATCAAAACCTCGAATCACCGTCCAAAAACAATGAATCACATCTCAAGATAAAACTGCAAGTGATCCGAAAAGAAGAACAAACAAGAAACTTTTGAATCACTGTCCCAAAGCAATGAATCAACACATGAGAAAAATACAATAGGTGATTCACAACCACTCGATACCTTTGAATTACAGTATCGAATCAATAACCCAAACAATAAATCACAAAAGTTTAAAGTAGAGTAACACAAGTCTCGAATCAACGCACGAGACAGAGCGGATCACGGGTTGCGGAAGCTTCGATCGTGACACAAATTGGATTCCAAGCGCCACAGGAACGCTTAAGGTTCGTTTCGGAATAGATATTGGAGCTTCAGTGAGGGGGAAAAAGATGTTACACTCGACCATGGGAACTTCACTGAGGGGGAAAAAGATGTTACACTCTACCATTGGAACTTCAGTGAGGTATAAAATATGTATCGAATGAGAGAGGCGTATAAAGGAGATAATGAGAAGGGTAAGATGATAAAAAGGGTGAAAGGGAATGCAGAAGATACTAGTAGACATTGAAAGAGAGAGAGAGAAAGAGAGAAAGAGAGAGAGAGAGAGAGAGAGAGAGGAAAGAAAATTAGAACAAACAATGTGAAAGAGAGAGAGAGAGAGAGAGAGAGAGAGAGAGAGAGAGACATCTGCTTCCTCCCACGGTTGCCTGTCTGCCTGGCTCTTAACAAGGGGGTGGGGAGACGTACAGTGTAGTCAGGTTATTTAGCGTAGGTTTACCCTCCCTGGCGCATGTGTATACTAACCTAACTTAACCTAACATAATTCAATCTACCTAAACTTAAGCTAGCTTAACCTAACCAGACCTAACTAACACTTAATCTAATATAACAACCTGATATAACTTACGTTCCCTGACGCATGTGTACATCAAAACTAACCTAACTTAACCTAATCTAATCTAATTTAACCTGACCAGACTAAAACTCAACCTAATCTAACCTGACTTAAACTAACTTACACCTACACCTAACCTAACCTACCTGTCACATGTCTTTACCACATATTAGCTACCTTAACCTCTAAGTTAAACTAACCTAACCTTTTAACAAGC